CCGTGCACAGCCCCACCAGGTGCAGAGGAGGTCAGAGTCCATCCAAGTGCTTATGAGGAGGACGGGATGAGGGTGATGTCGGGCTGAAGAGTTCGCCCCTGCAGCCAGGCTTTGGAAAGCTCTGCAGCTCCTGCTGTGCACGAAGGGACGGCAAGGTGCAGGAAGTCCACCCGGGTTCTGACTGGCCCATCCACGGCCACAAAGTACTCATGGCAGGTGAAGACACAAAGCTGGGCTTCTGGGTCCCAAATGAGAGACTTAATAAAAAAACCCAACAACAACCAACTAACCTCTGACTGAGAGCAAAGGAAGAAATTAATGTTGAGTTTTTAATGGTGTACTTTTGGGGCTAAAGTCCAGTATCAGAGGAAGGTTCACAGGAGCCAGGAAACAGCAGTATTTGTAGTCAGCTAATTAACTGGCTGCTTTGATGAGCCTCTTCAAGGGCATTCTGGCCAAGGTCTGCAGACTGGTTTCTCTGTTATGTCTATTTGCATGTCCTTCATCTCCATCTGCCCGTAGGGTTTCCAGGCTGCTCATCACCCATGATACCATAATGTCTCTGTGCCTCCCAACAGCACCAGGCAAATAAAACACCTGCAGGCATGAGTCCTTCATAGGAAGTCAAAATGGGTCCTGCTCCAGTCAGTCCAGGCGTGTTTTTGAAAAAGATTAAGTCTAGAAAGAGATTTGGAGGAATAATCAGAGGAAAGGGCTTTTGCTGAACATTCCCAGCGAGTCCAAAACATCCTAAAAATCACCAGCCACACCAGCAAAAGCCCAGAGAGCTTCTAATACTCTTCCCAATTCTTCATGGTAAAGATGAAATCTCTGAAAAATTTTTTTTTTTTAGAGAAGCCCAGACTTTGTCAATCTGCACTCTCTAGTGGTTCCTACAGAGCTTAATAAATGTTACCAGCATGGAAAATCTTGCAGTAGCTCAGCAAGTCCATCTAGCCATGCAAGCCTTGACCCTGCAAGGGGGTATTGCCCGTTTTTCCCCAAACAGGACAGGTTGGGTCTTTGATGGTGATAGAGGCAAAAACTAGCATCAGACAGACAATAAATAAGTGGGGTTTTTTCATAGAATCACAGAATTGGTTTGAATTGGTTTGGTTGGAAGGTGTCTTTAAGATCGAGTCCAGCCATTAACCCAGCACTGCCAGGTCACCACTGAACCATGCCCCTCAGCACCACATCTACATGGCTTTTCAGTCCCTCCAGGGATGGGGACACCACCACTGCTCCGTGCAACCTCGGCCAGGGCTTGACAACCCTTTCGGGGAAGATGTTTTTTCCTAACATCCAACCTAAACCTCTCCTGGGGCAACCTGAGGCTTTTTTCCTCTTGTCCTATCACTTGTTCCTTGGGAGAAAAGACCAACCCCCACCTTGCCCCAACTTCCCTTCCGGGGTTTGTAGGGAGCAAGAAGGTCTCCCCTGAGCCTCCTTGTCTCCAGACTAAACATCCCCAGTTCCCTCAGCTGCTCCTCACAAGACTTGGGCTCTAGACCTTTCATCAGGTTTGTTGACTTTCTTTGGATGTGCTCCAGCTCCTCCCCCAGGAGCCCCTCTTCAGGTTGAACACATTCTACAAGCATTGCATCAAACTGTGCCCAAATTGCCCCAAGAGCACCAATGTTTGACCTCGCCAGCCCCAAGCAAGCCCTGCCCATCAGGTGAATGACGATGATGATGTAGCAGTTTGGTCCTGGTCCTGTGCATTGGCTTTGTGCCCGCTCAGGATGGAGCATCCATCCAGGCAGTGCTTGGAGGGATACAGGTTCCTTGGGCTGGTATTTGAGAGGCTTCTACACGCACCAGCCATCGTGCAAGGATAGTGACCATCCCCAGATGGCCACTACCCTTCTGGGCATCTCTTCTGGCTCCCTGGTTCCTCTCCTCACTCTTGTCCAGGGCTAACACTTGGGGCAGGATCTGAGGAGGACAACTGGTCCAGCCTGAAGGGCTTTAGAGGAAAGAAAAACGACATCAAGGGAAGAAGTTTGGTTGCAAAACTGCTTCACCACAATTTTCTCCAAGATCCCAGACCGTGACTTGGAGCTTATTAAAAATAGTCTGTCAGCCTCCTAAAGAGAAGTTTGGCCCCACATCATTTTCTTGGCTTTTCTTCTAAAAGAAACATTGAAAAAAGCATTTACAACTAAGCAAAGCATATCAGACACAAGCAGTTTTCCTGCTCTTCCCACCCTCATCTTTTCCACCCTGCTGAAGATATTTGAGTGGAGTAAAGTAACAAGGTTTGGGTCCAAGGAGAGGCTAAGCTACAGTAATCTGCTTATATTGTTACAGATCTCCAGCCATCACATATATTTAACAAAATCTGCAAGGACTTTGCAAAGGTGGAAGAAAGAATGCAGATTAAAAAGCATCATTCATCTGATCGACCTTGTGGGTCTACTTGTGGCCTGTGAAACTATTTACAAGTTTGGGACATTCCTGTCCATTTCCCAAATGCTGCTTGGCTCCAGTCAGGTCCCTGCACTTGCCCTGGATATGGTTTTTGCAGCAAGTTGCTGCTCAGGGCTTGAGAAGATGGTTATCCTGCTTCAGCCAGCAAAGTCGACAGGTCTTGGTGGCTGAGGTGCAGTAAGAAGGATGTCAACCCAAAGCCTTAAGTGCTCAGAAACCACCTGGTATTTCACAGACTTCAGACATTCAAGACTAGAAACAGGTTTCTGCTCTGTTCTTGTTTCTCTAAGCACAGCTCCTTTAATAGGTGACCAGTGCTGCTCTTTGCTTTTCTATATCCCAAAGAGTTTGAGAGAAGCTCCCTGCCTGGCCAAGAAGCTGAGTCAGCTGAAAATCATCATGATGCTCCTGGGTTCTACCTGACACTGTCATGGTTGCAGGACATGGCATAACCAAAGATTTGCTGGCTGTATGTGAATAGGCAACCCCTCCTATCCCCCTAAAAGAACTTCAATTCTCTTCATGTTTATTGTAGAAGAGTAGAGCAAATCAAAGTCTGTCACCTTCATCCCCGATCCCACAAGCAGCCTGGGGCAGTCCTGGAGCAGGTCAACTCCAAAGACAACCATTAGCACGCTCCAAACCTCCTGCCCATCCTCATGTTGCCACAAGCAGCAGGAGGAGAGTCCACCCACGCATTCACAAACATTGTCATCTAAAGGTCCATCAGTCAGGTTACAATTCATACAGTTGGCTGAAGCATTTGCTGCTGGTCACATTCAGTGCACAGGTAAGATGGGAATGGCTTTTCCTCTCCCACAAAGCTTCCACCAAACTCCATGCCTCTGGTGCCAGCAGCAAGGAAAAAAATATTGAAACTAATAGGTGACTGAAAAGAAACTCCATGCAAAAGAGGTTGGTGGAGCACAAGACCCCGATGTGTCTGTGCCACAGGGTTTGTCTGGGGACACTTACACACACCCGAGACGTTTGGTGTCTACAAAACGAGACCTGTTTCAAAAGGCTGGACCCAGTTCCATCACTCTTGTACGACTTGCAGAAGCTTTATGAAGCACTTTGGAGAGAAGGATTAGCAGGATCAAGCCCCAGGACTCTTTACTAATTAAAATGTTTAAATAATTGAAATGCACAGTCCCTTGACTCTCCTTGGTGTGGCTACCTGCTTGAAAGCTGACATAAATTACAGAAAAAATCATGCACAGGAGGACAGTTAGTGCCTTGAAGAACTCTGAGCAGATCAAATGGCTCCATAGCACTGACGCCAACAGCCCTAAGAAGGATGATGTGATAGGAGGAAGGAGGTGAAACCTCACCTCCAGGGAGGTCAGGATGCTCGGGAACAGCTGTGTGGTCAAGGCAGCTGCCACAATGCAGTGAGGATTTAGGAAAATCAGCAGTTGCTGGAAATTTTTGAGTGTTAACAGGATTAAGATGCACATGGTGAAACCTGCTAGAGAGGACCTCGCCACTGAGCTCTGACAGGGAAAGCTACTGAAGCTGGGTAGTGCTCGAGCTGCCCCAGCCCTGCAACACAGCAACCACTCAACTCAACCTGAATCTGACAGCAGACCAGGGGACTGAGCAGTTTGCAGTGTTCTGAAATAGCTTCCACCTGAAGATGTCAGCTTGATACTGCAGCCTCACAAACGCTGCTGGGAAAGCTGCTCTCACTGGAGCTGCTCTCATCCAGTCCTGCAGGAATAAGAGTGACTCCCAGGTCTCTCTGCCCCACAGCCCCATCCACTGCCTGAAAGCTGAAGGACAACCCAGCACAGGGAAGGAAGCATGAGGAAGTTGCACTTTTTTAAGACATACTGGAGGTATGGCACAGCACTGACAGAGAACAAAATCTTCCAACACAGGCTGTCCAGCCACACTGGGAGAGAATATTGGATGAAATCTTTTTAGTCAATAAATCCCCTAAAATTTTAGAGATTTTCAGAAGTCATAGATAATTGTTGAGGAACTTGATACCCTTTAAAGGGATCTGATTTTCAGAAGATCCAGTAAAAAACGGCCAATATTGAAGGGCTTTGGGCTGAGTGCCCCACTCAAATGTCAGCCACATCAGCAGAAGACACTATTAATGCAATGTCATGGCCTATTGCACACACATCAGAGCAACAAAATCAGTGCAGTACAGAAACCTATGGCCTGACAAAGTTTCTCCATGGGATGCAGTGCAAACCTGGCCCTTGTATAGTGTCAAAGCAGGAAGAAATATCAGCACAGGTAACAACCTCCTTTGAAATAATAAATACAAAAAGTGTCATTTTTTTTTCCTTAGGTTTTTTTTTGTTTGGTTGTTTTTTTTTTACTCATGACAGCATTTGTTAAAAATATTACATCTGCTTTTGAGAAGATAACATCCTCTCCATATAATATGGAAAAATAAACTCTACAGGACACACAACAGACACCTCCAGTTGGTACTGAGCTGCTGTAAGAGGTTTAGCTCCAGACTCACCAATGCGCAAGGCTGGTTTTGCCTTCCTTGTCACCAGACTCTGAAAACATCATGTTGTAGGAATGGTAAAAGACAAGAATACATAAAAACAGTAAAATGTTTATTTTCTTAGAAAAAAAGAGATTCAAAATGATTGTGATCACACTCCCATTCGTGCTCAGCAAAGCCAATACTGCAAGCTTAGTCCTTGATTAAGATACCTATTAAATGAAACTCTTTTTCCTCTTAAAATACAAATTCCTGCTCCTGCATCACTTCCAGTATTTCAGTGATAACATGCTTTTAATGGATAATAGTTTCCCAGCTTCTTCTCAGCAGAGAAACAAGGCCTGCCATGGCAAAAAAACATCCCATCTCCAAAGCTTGAAATCACCAGCATTAATAAGCACTCCGGCCTGAACACGGACTGACAGACAGCTTAAGGGTGTGTCTTAGATGCTCGAATGTTCACTTATGGAAGCTTTGTATGACACTACCTCATCCCATAGAAAACAGGCCAGGAGCCTTGGTAAAATCAACAACGTCTTTTGGATTAACTTTAAGGATTTGCTGCATATCTGGACACAGAAAAAAGTGAGAAGTTGCAACAAGTTTTAACTAGCAGCAACAAAAACAGTTCCTTACGAGTTCTTAGCAATATTCCTCATCTGGTCATTAAGAAACACTGTAACTGAATGGAGCATATAATGTGGAAATGATCTTCTTCTGTTATGTAGTGCTGTTCGCTCTAGAAGACTTCCAAAAGGTCTCGACTGGGTTGTAATCTATTTACACAGTAGTAATATTCCTGGAGCGAGGGGCAGAATTGGCACTATGTGACATCCTCCTCTTCTGAACAGTAATCACGACCCTGCAAGGAGAAGAGCCAGACAGTTTGTAAACGACCACTTGGAGACAGGAATGACATAAATCAAGGGAGCACTTACCAATAGCACTTATCAGTTCTCAGGTTTAAGTTCAGAGCTCAGTAAAAACCTTAAAAATAGGGAGTAGAGTTTGCACAACTCCTCCAACCATTTCTAGACGGTCTGCATGAAACCAGGACAGAAGACCCTTCCCTTTCTGTCTCTGTTAATCTCATAAATTTCATCCCCTGTATTGAATTCCGGGGGGAGTCCAATAAACTGACTTACAAAACTATTTTATGTAAAGATGCACCTTGATGGACACAACCCTGCAGATCTGTTGCAAAAACAATCTCTGCAGCAACAGCAACAAAGCACATCCTCCTCTGAGCAACGCAAATCAGCTGCTGGGAACAAGAATCCCTCATCTGACAGCCTCAGCAGGAGTGCGACGTCAGAGCAAAAGACATCATTGGTATTGGAATTACACTTGTGCAACAGGGGAAAACAGGCTAAGGTGCACAAGCCATGGACTTCTCACAGACCAGTCGTTACATGGTCTGCCCCATCCCCAACACAAGACTTGGAGAAGCAGCCATCTAGATGTTACCCTTGGGAAGGTCTGGAGAAGATATGTCCTGTCCCTCACTAGTTGTTTGATGCAAAGCAGCAAGAAGAGGACCCGACAGGAGCCACTGTCCTTGTTTCTCTACACTGACACAGCTGGAGCTGAGCTCTTCAACACTCGAGCCACCCATGACACCCTGTGTAAAACAAGTGCCTCATGTAGTACTGAAAGTAGTAGGGGCTGTTGTGACAGGACAAGGGCTGATAGTTTGTAAACTCAAAGATGGGAGATTCAGACTGGATAGAAGGAAGAAATTTTTTACACTCAGGGTGGTGAGACCCTGGCCCAGGTTGCCCAGAGAGGTGGTAGGTGCCCCATTCCTGGCAACATTCCAGGTGAGGTTGGATGGGGCTCTGAGCAACCTGCTCTAGTTGCAGATGTCCCTGCTCACTGCAGGGGGTTGGACTAGATGACCTTGAAAGGTCCTTTCCAACCCAAACCACTTTGTGACTCTATGAAAAATCTCAACCTCTGGACTATTTCCCATTGTTCCCATGTGCCTAGTGTATCATCCTTTGCTTGCGTGGAAAATCCCATCAGCCAAGCACAGGACTGGCAAAGAAGAAGAAAAAAAAAAGGCAAAACATGAGACTCTCAGACCTGCTATATTAAAGTGTAAAAGCTCAACAGAAGAAGCTCGAAGCAGAAGAGACCAACTCAGCAGTGGTGAAACAGGTGAAGCTCTGCTCACTCACAGCAGGGGTAACCAGCTGTCCTACAGATCAAAACTGGTCACTGTTCTGTCCAGAAAGGGGAGGGAATGGGGAGAGAAAACTGAAAAAAAAAAAAAAAAAAAAGAAAAGGGAGAGCCATTTCTTAATGCAGCCATCAGTTTATTTGGGATGCATGGCTGGGGTACACACTGGGATCAGAGGCTCCAAAATGTTTCTCCAGCTAAAATCCCACTGATGATTCTGGGACTGCAGAGCTTGCATTGCTGCAGGGTCCACACCCAGGAATGTGTGACACTTTAACAGCTCTCTGTGGCCCAATACTATTAGTAAAAGAGATTTCTCAGTATGTTAGAAAACTCCCCTAAGAGACTAATCAGCCCTTGTTTCAGTTCAGCAATCACTGACCCAGAAAGACAGGAACAGAAACCCATGTTTTTTTAAAGGAAAATATTTGACTCAGAAAGAAGGAATTCCAAAATACTTAGCAGCAAAACCAGAATCCATAGGTTTTCTTTATGTCAGGGACCACAATGCATTTAGACAAAAACCACGAGACTAAGCTGGTGGCAATGAAGGCTTTACCCAATGTGCTTCAGTCCTGTGGAAGTCACCAATAGCAAATGATGACTGAGGTGCAGGCCATTTCCAGGAGACTCACTGACCTGGTTCCTCAGCCTCCTGCTCAAGAGGGAGCCCCATGGCCTATCATTCTTCACTACACACCACACTAGTGGCCATCAGTGCTATTAATGCTCAAACACACCCAAAATACAGAAGAAAGTTGTCTTGTGGTTTTTTCCTCCCATTATCTCCCACCGTTCCTCTGCTTCTAAGTGTGCTTTGTTGCCACAAAGTGCATTTCTTTTCAAAAGGATGCCAAAAAAACCACTTAAAAAGCAACATGCTGGAGAAGTCTTTGCCACAGTGGGGAAACGCCACTCTCACCCACTGCCTGAAGGCTGCCGAGAGCCAGGCTACTGCTGCCAGATGCTCTATTTCCAGCTTCAAGCTGGTGGGGATGGAGACACATCAGTGTCTCAGAGGTGGCCTTCAAGGCCGTGGCCCGTGGTCACCATCAGGCAGGGAGCCACCAGCATCCCAAGTTTCCCACCAGCCTTGTCCCTCCCACAAGCTCATGTGGGCAGCAGCAGCATGGCCAAAAGGGAGAGGAGGAGGAGGAGGAGGAGGAGGAGAAGGGTGAGAACTGCCTGAAATGCCAGGAACACCTCCCTCGCCATCCTGCAGCAAACACACAGCTCTTCCACCCGCCATGGACCTGCAACCCTGACCCAGGCAGCTCACTGAATGCCCCAACCGTGGTCATGCCCAGCGGTAGACGGGTTCTGTGGTGGGTGCAGAGGATGTTGCCTTTCTCTCCTCAGGAGAAGGAAGGGCCGTGCCCACCCTCTCATTGGTGGGATGTGATACAACCTGCGGGACCACCCTGCTCTGGCAGCTTTAGCTTGCTCTGCCCAGGGTGAGGATGGGTTGTGACAGCAGACACCCCGTTTTGCTCATACTCCTGCACCCACCCTGGCTGTCCTACAGCCACTGCCCACGGGCTGTGCTGCAGAGAGTCACACCAACACGCTCAGCATTGAATTCCAGCATGAAAATGGAGCCTGTGGTGTTCAGCCCAACAAGTTCTGAAGCACCCTGGCCCCATTCAGTGGGTTAAGCACATGTCAGTCTTTAAGCACATGGGAAACAGCATTTAAGCCTTGGGGCAGCTCATGTTAAGCAGGTGCTTTAGCATCTTCTGGAAGGAGGGCTTGTGGTAAGTGAGGTCTCCTTAAGCAAACACAGCCTCTTAAAAAGAGCAGGAAGGGGAGAAACCATGGTACAAGGAAACAAAGAAGTTACAATTCCTTTGATTTTTAAACAAAAGCTTTTGTCTAAAGCTTATTTCCTAATTACATTTTTATCAGTAACTACAAGGTCAGTGTTCCTCAGGAAGATCAGAGAAAGAACAAAGCTTCCCTCCCTGCTGCACTGTCCAGCACACAGGGGTTTCTGCCTGGTGCTCCCTGGGCAGAAAGGCAGGACAGTTTCCTATCTATCTCCCCACCAGCAGAGAACGATGGCTTCTTTGGTCCTGCTAAACACCGTGGCCTCAATCCAGCAAAATATTTTAAAATGTGATTTTCTCACCCTTTGGTTGTTTCAGAGCATGTTTGATACATGGTAGAGGAGATGATACCTCGAGTGGCCATATCTGTGATCAGCGAGAGGCCTGCTGTGCTAGAGATGGGGAATTATCCCACTGGGGCCAGGTGAAACCTCACTCGAAACGGTGAGCTAACAGCCTGCAAAGCTGAGAGGGTCTTCTGCAGAAACCACACCAAAATACTGACCTTGTGGCCAGCTTGTCGAGGGAGGGGATTCTGCCCCTCTGCTCTGCTCTGGTGAGATCCCCCTGCAGTGCTGGGTCCAGCTCTGGAGTCCTCAGCACAGGAGAGACAGGGACCTGTTGGAGATGGGCCAGAGGAGGCCACAACAATGATCCAAGGGCTGGAATCCCTCTGCTTCATTGAGGTCTATCTACTTTATTGGGTCCCATTAGGAAGATGGGGACAGACTTTCTAGCAGGGCCTGTTCTGACGGTACAAGGGATGATGGTTTTTAACTGAAGTGGGGAGATTTAGGCTAGATAGAAGGAAGAAATTTTTTTACACTGAGTGTAGACAGACACTGACACAAGTTGCCAAAGAGGTGGTAGATGCCCCATCCCTGGAAACGTTCCAGGTGAGGTTGGATGGGGCTCTGAGCAACCTGCTCTAGTTGCAGATGTCCCTGCTCACTGCAGGGTGATTGGAGTAGGCGGCCTTTAAAACCCACTTCCAATCCAAACCATTCTATGATTCTGTAATGTGAAGCAGCAGTCAGTGAGCTCCATGATGTGGGTAGAGGAGCTCTGGTAGTACCTGAGTGGAGACTGAAGTGATGGTGGTTTTTTTTTGGAGGGAGCAGATTTTTGTCAGGAAGGGAAGGGGGGTAGGAGAGAAGGTGACAAGCCTCTCAAATAAAGCAGCATTGTGGCTGGAAAATGAGGGTGCAGGACTGCTGGCCAAACCCTGTCCTCTGATGCCCAGGGTAGCAGACTCCCACATCCTGAGGGTCAACAGGCACAAAGCATGTGGCTAATAACAGAATATATGAGCCATCTTTTATTCGCCCTTGATAGCAGGGGCTACTAATTAAATTGTAATGATTCATCAACGATGTGGATGAAAGAATGGAGTGTACCCTCCTCATGTTTCCTGATGATAAAAAGCTGGGAGGAGTGCCTGGCACACCAGAGCTGTGCTGCCATTCAGTGAGATCTGGACAGGCTGGAGGAGCTGGCCAGAAGGGGAACTTCAACAAAGTTCAATAAGGGCAAGTGCAGGGTCCTGCCCTTGAGCAAACCCCTGCACCAGTAGGGGCTCACTTGCTGGAAAGCAGCTCACAGAGAAGCACCTGGGAGTCCTGGTGAAAAAGTTCACCATGAGCCAGCTAAGTCCCTTATAGCCAAGATGGCAAATGAGATCCTGGGATGGTGGTTCTCCTCCCCATCTGCTCTGCCCTATTCAGGACACATCTGGACTATTGAGTCTGGTTATGGGCTCCCCAGTTCAAGGGAGACAGGGAACTACTGGAGAAAGTCCAGTGGAGGCTGTGAAGATGCTGAAGGGACTGGAGCATCTCTCTGTTGAGGAAATGC